CTTCCGGGCTGAGCCGGGAGGTGCCCGAGCTGCCCCCTCCCCGCTCTGCCCACCAAAACACAATACAGGGGTCGTTCTCTTGGCTCGACTCCGGCGTGCTTCGTCGCCCGGCTCAAATAAGCGAGGAGAGAATTAAACCCCAGGCAGATGGAGCGGGGAGAAGAATCCTTTGTAGTGGTGGTTTGGCTCGAGAGCAAAGGCGCAGCCGCGCTCGGCGCGGAGGCCGGGGCATTTGGAGAACCTGTCTGGGATGGCCGGCACCTGTTTCCCATCACTTAACGCGCAGCAGAAGACAATCGCTGGCTCAGCAGCCCGGGGATATACGGCCAACAGGTGACGCGCCCCGGCACCCCAAAGGCGACTTCTCCTGGAAAACACATTGTCCGGGCACGGCGGGGCCCCTCACCGGGGCCGCCCCTCTCCGTGCGGGGTGGAGAGGGATGGAGGTCTCCTTCCCAAAATCACAAAGCTGCTGCATGTCTAGGAAAAAAAAAAAACACAAAAAACCCACAAAAAAACTTGATGTACCTCTGCTTGGTTTGGCTTTGCCACGTGTGACACCTCCCTGCGCCTTTTCCCTGTGGTTGGTTATTTTTTTTTTTTCCACCCTACAAGGTCTCAACAGATCCTGTCCCGGAGTGAGGATGAAGGAGTGACCTGGAGTGATTGCTCAGCAAAAAGCATATTTTATTTTTTTTAATTTAAAAGGAGAAAGTTCTTGCATCTGATGTCAACACTAGTCTGTAGCTGCTCTCCAACACTTGTACCATTCCTGAGTTGGTTTGTTTTGGGGTTTTTTTTTGGACTATCCTTTTATTTTTTTATTCCTTTGTACAGTCAACGTTGTTCAACTGATTATACATGAGTTTGTTTTGTATAAATTAAAGTCTTTTTGTTTTGTTTTGAACTGCCCCTTGAAAGGTGGAGAAGTTGTATCAGTTTTCATGTGGGCTGGGAAGAGGTTGAAGGGAAAAGGTGATAGTTCTGCCCAAAACTGGGAATTTGGGACTGCTGGTGATGGAGGTGCATATTGCCACTTCCCCATCAGCCTGAAAACAACTCGTGTTAACCTCAGATTACATTTTCTGGGGGGTCTTAAAGTCACAATTCCTGGCTCTGAGGTTCTTTTTGCCCTTCTCTACAACTGCAGAAGCTAAAACTCTGCTTATTAAAGGCTTGATTCCTGGAGAATTGCTGATTTTGGGATAGCGGAGCTCTAAGAAAACCCATGGAGTGTTCAGCAACGCCTTTGATGTCGTAGGTGGCTGGAGCTACGCGGGGACGGGTTTTCCAAGTACAGTCGAAGCCTTAAGTTGCCTCTTTGGGTCTGGGCGAGCTCGGGAGGAGAGGACCGAGTGCTGCGGCAGCATTCCACCCTCCTAGCCGGGCTGGAAAAGTTAAAGCCAGTCTGGGATAAGTGACTGAAACGGAAAAGGTGCCGCGGGGAGCTCACAGCACCAGTGTCACCGTCGGGCTGGTGTTTGATGGCATCGACTGGGACCAGGAGCCCCGGGAAGAGGCTTTTCTCCTGGGGTGGAGGGAAAGTTCTCCTGGCCTGATCCTTTTCTCTCTTGCACCCATCCCACCTCCCCTTGACCTCCCTTTTCCCCTGCCTGCTCGCTTCCCTAGGATCAGATTTTCCACTTCGTACCAGACTGGCCACGCTTGTTTTAACAGCTTAAGTAGTAATTGCCGGGGCTGGGAGGGGGCAGGGGGGGAAATGAGATAGTGTCTGCAGCCTGGAAAACCCTGGAGCTAAGGTGAAAGCCTGGTCAGGGAAGTCACGGAGACCTTTTTTTTTTTTTTTCGGGAGGGTTCTGGAAGTGTCTGTTCCCTCTCACCGAAACAAAGGCTGTGTGTGGTTTCAGGTGGGGTCCGGACAGCCGGAGCCCATTACGCCGGAGCAGCGGGAGCTGGCTTTGCCTCCGGT